CCAAACACTTAATCCAGAGACAGTTATGCCTCCCACCTAGAAGCCTGCTTGTAGTGTAGACGGTAACAGATAAGCTTTCAAACTGGGTATCTACTTAAAGCCAGCCAAATCCTGATAAAGTCTTGTCAAATGAGCAAATGAATTATTTCTATTACAATAGGAAGATTCCAATCAGATATATGAAGTAACACCATTTTTCTAATTTAAATAGAAATTCTATTCTTTAATAACAACTTTATTCATAATTGACAAATTCTGAAAGTAACTCAGCAGCTAGTAGGAAACTGATAAAGTATGATATCCAGATAATGAGGTATTACTCAGCAGTAAAAGAAAACGAGGGCTTGAGCTATGAAATGACACAGAGGAACCTTAAATGCAGTTAGTAACTTAAAAAATCTAACAGAAAGTTCTCATGATTTGACTCCAATGACAAGCGACTTTGGCAAATTCCATAGTTGAAGGAGTTGGGAAAAGCAAAGAACAAACAGGCAGAGCACAAAAAACTTGGAGGGCTGTGAAAGAATCCTGTGTGGCATTGCAGTTGTGAACACATGCTATTTGACCTTTGTCAAAACCCCATGGCAAGAAGAGAGCTGGTGTCAAGTAGGGATGCTAGTTTCCAACGTCTTATCAGTATAGGTTCACTGTCTGCAACAAATGTGCCACTGTGGGTGGTGACAATGGAGGAGAGTACGTACACATGGTGGACCAGGAGGTACTTTGGATGCCACTCAACTTTCTGTTCAACTTTGTTGTGAACAAAATACCGCTCTACAGAATAAAGTTTAGTTTTAAAAATATAAAATGATATCTAAGTTGGTTTATAATCAGTTCTCTGATTATGAGAAAGAGCAATATTTTTTCTGCAACTGTAAAAAAGTGGATGCATATGTAATGTTTTTATTCTTCATTTTAGAGATAACAAGGGAGGTGGTTTGAATATAGCTAGAAGTGAAAACACTAGATCCAAGTAGGTACAAGTGTCAAACGTAGTTTAAAGGCATATTAGAACTGGACTACTAAAAGCAGAGTTGCTATAGTGTGACTGTCTATGCCCACCCCAAGCCTTGTGCTGAGATCTTCACCTTTAAGATGATGATGTTCACATGTGGGAACCTTTATCAGAGTTGCCTGGGTGACGTGGGCAGACGTTCATGAATAGGATTAGCACCATAAGGGACCTAACAGACCCTCCACCCCTTCCATCATGGGAAGACACAACAAGAAGGAGTAGTGTATGAGCCAGAAAAGCAGGTGGTCCTCAGACATTGAACCTGCCTTAGCTCAGGGTTCCCTAGTCCCCAGAACTGTGTTTGTATATCACCCAGTTTATGACACCTTGTTACATGGACTAAGAGAACAATTACTTGGTCAAAGTCCCACATCTTATAAGTAAGGAAAATGAGGCTGTGGGCTACAAGATGATTAGATAACAGAAAGAACACAACTTCAGTGTCTGCCGGTTTTCCACCGTACCACAATTCAACACAACTGCAATCAAGTTCTTAAAATTCAGATGCTAACTTTTCTCTTCTCTCATGTATCTATCTTATTTCTTTCTTTCTTTTCTTTCTTTCTTTCTTTCTTTCTTTCTTTCTTTCTTTCTTTCTTTCTTTCTTTCTTTCTTT